CCATTACACTTCTCATCCGTACACTTCTAAATGAGAGATATGTGTCCTATTCGATTTTCAAAGGTCAAAAATTATATCATATCAATAACAGTGGTGGACGCAGAATTCTCATGAAGGGGCGTCAATGGTTGTAGTAAGAAAATAAAAATATAATTATAAGGCAAATAGGGCTTGAACACACAACCCTAAGGAACTTTTGCAACATCTTAACCACTAGACAAAACCTTCCACTTGTGTCAATACTTATATATATATATATATATATATATATATATATATATATATTAAACAAAAAATTGACCTCTATGACACCCCTCGGCCAAGGGTAAGTCCGCCCTGATTAATAAGTATATAATTATAGTTAAGTCAACAAATTTTGATAAATTATTCTCCAAATTTAGTAAGAACAAGATATTCCACGTAAATTTTAATATCCATTAATATCATTATTTTCTTTATTTAAATATTAAACTATACTATATTTAAGATGAAAACCGACTAAATAATTTTTTATGCCTATAAACTTTATTCTCAATATATTATGTTAGAGATACAAAAAGGAAGGTGAAAAATTATCAGTGTTGACAAAAGAATGGGAAAGAAAAAATATAATAATAAAAGTCGAGGTGTTATAAAGTTTGCAAATGTGAAATATCAAAATTCTAAAATTTTAGGAGAAAGTGTGGCTGCTGAGTTTGAAGAAGGAAAAAAAAAGAAATATAGATGTCTTAAAAATTATTATTTTTTTGTCTTCTTCGTTTTTTTTTGTGAATTTTGAAAATATATTTAAAGCCAAAATATTTTCGAAGATTATTATTTATCACACTAAATAAAAATGTTAAATTCATATTTTACTTTTTGATATTTAAATATAAAAATATAAGATATAATAAATATCAAATTTGTGGGGGAAAATTTTTGTTCTTACCAAATTTTTGAGAATAGTTTCCAAAAAAGTTGTTGACTTAACTATGATTATAATAATTATTGATGTAATATAATTTTGACCTTTAAAAGTTAAATATGTCATATATCTCTCATTTAGAAGTGTACTTAGCTAGTGTTTGACTATAAATTTCCAAATAATTTTAACAAATATTATTTGAGCGAAATTTTGACCATAGATTTGTTGGGATATATACTATTAACCATGTGTTAAGAAATAATATTTATTATAGAATAAATATTTGCTCAATTTTAATAGATCAGATATTCGTTTATGGTGTCTATTTACTTATATAGTAGATGATTTAGTGTGTAGAGTTTTAGCTTATACACAGAGGACTAAATCATCGGTTCTTATAAGTATAAAGTTTTTTTGTTCACAATCTAGGATAGAAATTGGACATGCCATCGGTACGATTGTAGCACAAGATTATAGGTAATTTATCTTGATTATGGGAACGGTATAGTTCCAACTTCTTGTGCTAGTGCATTTTGTATGTATTGAACAGGACCGAGTAGAGATAGTTGTTTTAGACTGACTGACAAAACATATTCTCTAAACTATTAAATGTACTTATATTCTTAATCCTGATATAACTATTATGATCTGTATATATTAATTATCGTTTTGATTTATTAAAAGGTGAGATTCTGAGATGGGTCAATATGCATGGTAAGTTGGATGATAATAATATATATTGGTGAAATAATAAGCTAGTTGATGAAGTCCATGTCTCGTTATAGAGATTGATTGATATGCCTTTTTGAGAAACTTATAAGTTTTCATCGTGTCAAACCTTGCAAGTGGATTTATGAATCCGACACATGAAATAAGTTAAGTAGTGCTCTAAAGGAAATTAATCATTAAGTTAAATTCGTCAGTAAATTAATTTATTGATTAGTATCTGAAATCTTAACATGGGGAATTACATAAGTGTTTAATGGGGAATTACAAAATATAAATAGAGGAGTGCAATTACGAATTTCTAATGGAATGATTTGTAATTTATTATGGTAAGAATAATCCAAATCAATTATTTGGAATTATTTCCATAATAGGAAGCCTCAGTAATTAATTATGTGGTCCCTCCAGTGCCCATATTTAACTAGAACTCAGAATCCTAATTCTAAAGGGAAAAGGGGAGAGGCGTTAGTTTTCTTATAAAAAGAAAACTAGCGTGTATTTTTCGGTTGAAGAAAAATAACGTGTGTTTGGTTCTCCTCTTTGGACTGTGAAGAAATCTTTATAATTAGGGATTCTTCTAGCCCTAGATTGATTAGTTTTCTATTCATACTTGCCCACCCAAGTATTGAGAGAGTTCAGATGTGAACTTGGGATCACTGTAGAAGACCATAGTTGTTGTCTATCTTGTGGATTCGCTCGAAGGTCCGTCTAACTTGGGGATTCGCTTGAAGGTATCTGTTCACGCTTCAAGAGGTATCTATCGAATTAAATTCAACAAGTTTATGTGTTCTAGCATAAACAGTATTGATTATCTATTATTCATGTAAGCAGTAAGATTCTAGTATGCTTCCGCTGTGCATATAATTTTCCAACAATTGGCATCAAGAGCCACACTTACATCTTATTAGATAACATGATATATATGTATGTATATGTTTTCGATACATACATTAATATGCAGTTTTTACGTGAGTTCAGTGTATAGCCGAATTCAATTATGTTTAATTACTAATTGTTGATGACTGTGGTATATCACGATGATTGCATATGTCAACCAATATTAAAGTTTTTTTTTAATTATTGCAAGTTGAGTTATATTGCATTGCAAAGTTAAAAAGAATTAAAAGAAGAGAAGAAATCGGAGTATTGAACATTGTGACGTCTGCAAATTAAGTTTTGCATAAGAATTAAAGACTCCAATTTTCAGCACTGTTTTTTCCTTGATTCTTTTGGTAATTAATATTTGTTGATTGGCTGGTGACTGTTTGTTATATCATGTGTCGGCGGCTACAGTGGTACCGTAGGGCATCACCGGTTTTTCATAGTAATATTTTTTTTTGGCAAAGTGAATGTTTAATTTTTTTTTATTTTTTTTTTGCCAAACAATTGATACTACAATTAACTGCATGTGCTCATTCTTTTGGATTGGCCAATAATCAATTCTTTCAATTATTTGGTTATTGTCTTTGTCACATGGCATTAAACTTTTCTCATACGTGTATAATGTAAATATAATTGAGAGTTTGTGATTAATAAATAGTGCTACCATTAAATGGTCTATTTGTTTGAGATCACTTAGAAATTCTTAAAGCTTTATATATGTGGGATTGTTCCAATATATGAATTGAGAATAATGATTAATAAATATGATCTATGAAAGTGATTTATTTATTTAAGTCATTAGAATATTTTCAATGTATCATATATAAATTGTCCTTAGTGAATATTGGTGGTAAATATTTATTTATATGAATGGATATTTACTGTAATATGCTAATAATGCTTAATTAATTCATGAGAATAGATATTAAAGGTTTTCTCTGATCTAAAAGGGAAAAAATGTAATATCTTGAATTTTCAAATGTATTAATTGAAAGGACAATTTTGATATAAGAAGGTATTGCGTGACTTAGTAAAAGAAAGGACACAACGTATGCCTCATGCTCATGGGATAATAATTAAAAGAGAATGAAAATTGAATCTAATTATTTTAAAAATAACTATACCTAAAATAATTATTTTTCAAATTAGGTCATTGTTTAAGTGGTCATGATTTTTATGATCTCTGATTGACTCGAAATTTGATGGTTTCATTGAAAATTGTTTAGATGGATTTTAAATAGTTTGTCAGATTAAATTTGATTTGAATATAATAAGATCATTTTTTATGTTAATTATGTTTATGTTAAATTTGAAACATGATTACACATGGTTATTTAACATGAATTGATATGTGATAAGAATGTATGTCATGTTGTTTTAATTCCTAAAGATACTTAAATTACTTGAATTTGAATTTGGTCATAGTTTTGAAAATAAAGATTCTTTATATGCTCCAATTGACATGAAATTTGGTAAGTTCATTGATAACAACTTAGTAAGAAGTACTCATTGCTATGTGGTTATGATTCTTTTTTGAGGTCGTTAAAATGATTGTAAAGTTGTTCTTTGAAATTAAAATGTGATTTGGTATGAATGACATCCTTTATATTGATTTTATTTATGTTATATGTGGTACATGATTACACGTGATGAGCTAACATAAATTGAATATGATAAGAATGTAGATCTGTTCATTTTTACTCAAATTGTTTGAATCTGAATTTGATCATAGCTTTGGAGATAAATATTATTTTTGAACTCCAATTGATCTGAAATTCGGTAGGTTCATCAGAAATGATCAAATTTAAAATACTCATTGTTATGCATTGATTTGGTAATTTGAGGTCGTTTAGATGATTTTTTTTGATAATTTTTGTATCTTGAAAAATTAATTTTACTGAAATTACTCAACTATGATATATAGTGGTGATAGAGTTTGTTCTCTATGGTCTTCATGACTAAATTTTAGTGAAATATTAAGTTCATGTGTTGGCTTAGACCTTCCTCCATAACGGATGAAATTAATACAAGTCATTAAAATTTAATCTCTAGTTTTGATTATCTGTATTGACACTCTTAAATTGAATAATATTTGATTGGATCAATGAATCTAGGGATAATGATATTCACTTGACTTGAAATAACATATACCTCCATCTGAGTTAACTTTTGTTCTAAATTTATTGAAGTGAATAACTTTTAAAACTTATGAGTATAAATCATATTTGTTAAAAGGTGAAATATATTTCCAAATACAAACATGATGAAATTTCCCCCAAATATATGAAAATCTATGATCAAAACTAGCTTGACGAAATAGAGGGAAGCCAAATAGGAGTGCAGACACAATAATGTTTAGACAAAAGTTAAGTCGAGGAGATTAGAAGAGGTCTAGGTTAGCTGATGGATCTACAGAGTGGCAATCACCTCTACCAAAATAACAAAAGATAAAACAGTATTAGAGTAGGTAGGTGATCGATCACCGGATTCAGGTGGCGGCATCGAGTATCTGAGTAAGGTGAACAAGATGGTGTGTAAGAGCCATAAGTGTGAGCACATTAAGAAAAGATGAATATGAGTTTAACTTCTTAAGTTTCTGACTCAATTTCACTACTTGGGGCTTCACTACCTCTGCTGCGGACTGCTCTGGAGATTTTTCTGCTGGTTTAGTTGTTGTCGTCTTTGTTGGATCCAATACCGACTCCACTCCTCTAGTACTGCTTGGTTCGACGGTAAATATGTGACTGCCTCTACCTTCTTCCTTCTCCAACTTCAATCTCTCAAACATAACCTGTGCATTGGAATTTCCCATACCACATCATTACAATGAACTAAAAACCAAAGAACAGGATTAAATAGTTAAAAGTTACTACCATTAGAATGCACAAATTTGCTGCTGATAGTAATTTCAATGAAACAAAATCTATATATATATATACATGCTACTTGTAGTTTTTTTAAATAATATCTCAATATTCTTGGATACAGCCGATTTGGAAGGAACAGGATTGAGACGGGTTCTTATGCCTTTTCATATCATTGTTTTATCGCAACTCATGTGACACTTTTTTATTACTTGAGATTCAAACTACTCTCCCATTGCAAATTTTGTGTATTTTTTGAGATTCAAGCTACTCCCCAAACTACTCTCTTTCCAAATTTTGTGTGATACTTCTCATTTTATCGAGATACAATCTCTAGCTATTCCCCATTTCAAATTTTGGGTGCACACTTAACAAGATACAAAAAAAAAAAAACTCTTTAAAGCTAAATTGAATTAAATCCACTAAAAAAACTATACCAAAATAATATATGTTGCAACTATCAATATCACGAAAAATATGGTCAAAATTCACATAATTTAAATCTAAAAAAAGTAGAAACTTCGGTATGTTGGGACAGAGGCAAAGTGCCATAATTTAAGCAACATTTTTAAATGTATTAATTTAACTCTAAAATACCAATTTTAACCCTCAATGGAAATGACTTATTTTAGAACAAATATTTCAGAAGGTAATCTTTCTTTCTTATACTCCATTAACTCGTATAAAAATTGGGACGGAGTGAAGTATTTTTTATGACGCATTGCAAATTATCTAATCCAATTTAAATTCAAAATTAAGTATCAAGTATAGTTTAAAAGAGTTGAATAAGAGAAAGTGTCAATAAAACAGATTAAGAATATGAATTACCTTTGTTGCTCGAGGCTCCAAGTAGAGCAAATTAACCAAAAGCATGGAGATTGAAGCTAGAAGATTAAAACCTTGAACTGCTTCACCCAAGTTAGCGTAAGGCCTACGTTTTTGGCTTAAAAAATGACCGATGAATGTCGGGCCAACGCAATAAGCCATAGCCTTAAAGTAAACAGGGTAAATCTTACTTTGAACCACTGCAAATTGCTGCCTTGGCAATGCTCTAGCTAACACATAACTCGAAACAAATGTAACCCAAATACACATCCCATAAGCCACAGAAAACCCCAACAAATGCATCAAACGCATCACATGACGCAAATTCCCTAAAGAGAATATATAAGTAAATACATCACGAAAGAAATCACGTCCTCGCACGATAATATCTTTCAAATCCTTTTTCCCTTCTTCTGCTTTCTCGGATATTTCTCCTTTCACTTGCTCCATTACTTCATCCTTTTTACTCTTCGTTGTATCAACTACATCCTTCGTTTTTTCTGAAACTTTGGTAAAACCTTCTTCAACCTTATCTTTGGTTTTACCAAAAACAGTACTAATTTTCTCTTTACACTTTCCATAGGCATCACAAAAACATCTCTAGCGCTATTTTGTTGGTGTTGATTCACATAAGGACTCGCAATCCCTTGACCGATATTTGGAAGAACAGAGGATGCTTCCTCTGCTTTTTCATATATTTTATCTTTCAAATCAGAAACATAACCTGATTTTGGAATTTGAGTTTGTTGTGGGGAGATTAAAACTTTGGTACCTTGATTTTGATCAAATTCAACAACTAAAACGACGTCTTCTTTTTTATTGGGAGTGAGAAATCCAGCTGTAACAAGTGTGGATAATACAAGAGAAATAGCCAAAACATTCATCATCCTTTATTATTTATGTGCAAGGAAAGACAAAAAAAAAGTGTTTCTTGTATAAGGAATGGAAGATAGTGAGATGAAATAGGAGGAATTGGTTGAATTTTTTGAGGCAAGTTTGAATGTTTCACACGTCAGGGTGTTAAGCTGGATGAAAAATGTATACGTGTTGGGTCGCATGCGGTTTTCGAATCTACGTGTCCGTTTCTAAATTCACCTCTAAAAAGTAAAAGTATATCAGATGAGGCTCTAACACATTTATCTGCCCAATTTAGCTTTTTAAACAAAGTATTTTGGAGTTGCGTACTTGACAGAAAGTTTTAAAAAAATAAAGAAGATTTTTGAATTTTATGATACTAAATTAAAATTATGTTAAATATATAAAATTATCTTTTAATTTTGTGTTTTTAAATATATCATGTGAAAAGTTGAAATTAAAATTTTACTAAAGAAAAAAAGAGATTATTCTTTTTTAAATAGATTAAAAAGAAAAAAAGGTCATTCTTTTTTAAACGGAAGAAGTATTAGATAAATATTTAAGAGGTGTTTGTGTCTGAAGTAAATTATTATTTAAACTAATTTATTAGAATAGTAATAACTTTTAAAAAAATAGAATGAACATATTTACATTAACGTATAAAATATTTGTTTATTTATAAAATTCAACAGGCAAAACTGATAAGCGATCAGATTTAACGAATCATAAAACAAATATGTCATTAGGGGATACAAAACGTCTTTAAAGTTGTCGAAGTTGTGTAATCATATCTTAAACTAATTTTAAATAAGCAAATTTATACTACTTAATTAGTCATTATAGCTATAGTTTATTATAATTATCACTCACGATTAATATTAATCATTAATTACGTGGACTGACTTTGAATTTGTATAATTAGCCACATTTGTACAATTCGTTATATTTGTATAATTCGCAACTAACAATTCTTCGTTTGATTTGTATTTGTATATGACGATGATTTCTTTTGATTTTTTAGTTTTATCACCATATACATTCAATCTTTTTTGTGTATAACTTTTTAAAGTTTATATAACCATGTAGTTTTCGAATGTTGTATAATATAATTTATATAAATGTAATTTGTATTATATAATTTGTATGACGGTTTAAAGTTCATATGTTTATGTTTGTATCAATTCGTTATTTCAAGTTTTATAATATTTGTATAATTCCAAACTTTATATTATTCAATTATATAAAAACACGGAATTATACGCACCCGCGAATTATACAAATAAGATGCAAATTATATAAATTATTGCCCTCTCTCGCTCGTCTCTCTCCTCCCTCTCCCAATCTCGCTCGCCAGATATACAAATACATATATATACTAGTTACATATATACAATTACCTAACCGATATACATATGCAATTCACCTCTTCCCTCTCTCGCTCGTCTCTCTCCTTCCTCTCCCAATCTCGCTCGCCAGATATACAAATACATATATATATACTAGTCACATATATACAATTACCTAACCGATATACATATGCAATTCACCTCTCTCCCACCCTCTTCCCTCTCCCAATCTCGCTCGTCATTCTCTTTCCTATAACATGTAGCTACAAATCGTAATTAGCAAACAATAACTATGGGACATGATTAAGTTATTTTTGAGTGGCTATATGCGAAAGTTCACCTGAGATGATTCTATTAAAGAAAATGATGGTAGTTAAGTGAAATTGAAGAGAAGTTGAAGTAAATTTTTTTAAAAAAAATCCATGGGGATTCGATCTACCATGTTCTACATACTTCTGCATGCTTGCTCACTTCAAACGCGCAAATTTGAACTTGGGCGTCATGTAAGTTTTGTGTACTGCTTTATTATTGCGTTGGTGTCCAAAATATTATATATATATTAATATAAAATAAAATTTGATCTATATATAATGTAATTTTTCGACAAAGAAACCTGATATCACCGTAACTCGCTCCAGAGTCTAAGCATCAGGAAGAAGTGCAGAGATTTTTTTTTCCCATTTTTTGGTTTAGTTTTCCTCAAAAAAGAATCACAAGTAGTTCTCCATCTTTTAAATCACAATGAAAATAATAAAGATTTTATTTGTAGTAGGTTCTATTTAAAATTTGTGTACAACCTCCCATTTGTAAAATCACATTAGGTATGTTATTGTTGTTCCAAGTATTCTTTGTTATCAATTTCCTTAGTGAATCATACATGAACAAACTTGCACCTAAGAAGAAGAAATTAAAGTATCCTTTTAATCGCGATTAAATGTTAGAAATACATGTATTCTGGAGAGAGAGTGGCAATCTTTTCAAACAAGACTCCAGTTGCCTGGGTGAATATTTTGTTATTGGGATTCATCATAAATTGACTAGTTTCTAACACCGAGCTTAGATTGACAATGTGAGCAAATTCGCATAGCTGTGATCTAATGGTCAATCTGAAATATCAAAGTATCAACACAACCATTTGTACAAACAACACTGAATATCACAACACGAAAACGTGGAAGGAATAAACATTTCTAAAGTAATGTCACTTGATAAAAAAATGATTCTCAACATATTCCAAAATACAATGCAGATTATGGCCTTTGAAGTAATAAAAACAAATGTATAAGTAATATATGTATGCACTACAAAAGTTGCACAATATTCCACTGTTTTCTCCCATACAACTTTACTAAACATTTCCACCCATTCTAAACCAGAAAATTGGAAATAACAACTAATTTTCTTCCTTCCATCTCTTCTAAAAATAATAATAATCTTCATTCACATTAGGTGACCCGATTGCTGTGGTATTATCTGGAAATCCACAAGTGACAGGTAGAAACGGATCATGCAAAACTGTGGTGCATCGTTTCATATGCTTCGTTTAAGCACTTAATCACACTTGATATTTCTGTAAATCCTCCTAACAAACAAATTAGAGCCAAGATATCCTACAGCACCTGGAGTTCCAAAGAAATCAAGAAAGAATTAGTTAAGTCAGATCTTAAGTCCACGATAGGGATGGCGTTTTGAAGGGAAGGAAAATAAAAGGCACTCGCCAAATCCTGTATTTGACTTATATAGCTTACCACAGAGGATTCCAAGGCCAAGGCAGAACATCATAGTGTAGCCAAAGTAAAAGCTGGTCTGGAAGAAACCGGACATCTTAGTCTTTACGTGATAGTAATATATGGCGTAAAGATAAACATAAAGAGCTGTTGAGGCAGCAGAAAAGAATGAAGTCCACCGCCAATGGTAGTTCTCGGCATTCAACAAGAAATACGTGCCCACAATTGTCACACAAACGGTGACAATGATGAGAATAATAAATACAAGAAGCATAAAACCATAGACATAGTAGACCTGCCAACAACAAAATAAAGGTCAGCCAAAGTACAAATGTAAAATACATTGTTTTCAGGGAAAACTTTGCAGCAACATATAAGAAAAGCAATAGGTGAACACTACAGAATCTCCAGTGTGCATATTAAATGCTGTGAGATTGTTGCTAGACAATGTCGTGAGTCCTACTTTGAAGAAGTCATTGCAAGTTATCCTTTATGTGTTTAAATAATGTGTTCAATAATTTATAGAGAAAGAAAGAAAGGAACTATACCAAAAAACGTAAGCAGACAAACGTTTCAGAATCTCAAGCTACTAGAAAACGATCAGAAGAATCTATTGGCAAATGGCATTGACAATTATACAAGTTTGTCTCTATTGCACTATACTTCATTATAAAGTTAGCTCACAAGACAAAATCTGGTTTCAAACTTAAGCATGGGCAATTAGAACAGTTCAATATCCATATCAGAAGTAGCGTCTAATAGGAACACATCGGACAGTCCTGTGACATGCTGTCATGCCCAAAACAATGTTGACATCTAGGTTACCTTTTTTTATTTTTGACCAATAGAAAATTATCTCACATTTTATTCGTAGGTCATATTATCTCACATTTTATTCGTAGGTCATAAGCTTGCTCTCACTCCTCAAACTTGTACATCTAAAAGAAGTCCAATTTCTCTTTAGCACATAAGGTCAATCCGGTATTTTGAAACTTTTCCAGATTAATATCAAGATCTGACAAAAGCGTCAAACTAGAAAACTAATTGTGATGTTAAATAGACTTTTGTGTCTATCAATGTTAGTTATGTGTTTCCATGTTGTGTCCTCTTGCATTCTGAATAATGTCACATACGCATATTCTGCATGTTAGAAACTCGTGTTGGAACCAGAGCAGCTTCACTTTCAACTCACTGATAGCAAGCAAATTAAAGACAGGTGCTTGTACTTCTCTGAACAAAATGAAATAAGTAAATGATGATGCTGAAAGATTCTAATAAGGATGAAATCCTCCAGATTGATCAAGATGAAGCGAAATTAGCCTTACAACAGCTTTTTGGTAGTCAAATAGTTCTTAGAAACTATATATACATGGCACATAAATATCACAGTGAAGTATATAATCTATTTAGTTCACACAAAAACAGTTCTTAGGCAATAAAAATCTTTTGTATTCAACTAATTCAACGCTCAGATAGTGGAAAACTGACCAGTAAAGCAAATATTCATATAGAACGATGCTGAAAAGATTGTCAAGTGAAATGGTGCAAGGAAAAATATCTTTTTAAAATGCTATTTCCATTAAACGAAAAAAAAGGGAGAGAATAATTACCTTGTAGTTCCAGAAGGAAGTGAAGACAAAATACATCTCAATGAAAATGCTCCCAAAGGGAAGAAGACCTCCCATTAGAGAAATTACAGATGGTGTGAGGTACCATTTCTTCTCAGGGATAGGGCGGGGTATGGTCTTAACACGGCAAGGATTGTTTGGTGTACCACTCCAGTTTCTTCCTACAACAGTACCAAGAAGTGCCAGAGGGAATGAAATAAAAGCCCAAATAACAAGAACCACCACCATTGTGCCAAAGGGAATAGCAGCTAAAGATCCATAAAATATAGCAATCGTGTTTAGAATGAACCCAATGCCAAAGCACATAAAGGGGAAAAGTGATGCCGTTAGTATCATTGACTTTATC